GTTTAGGGTTTAGGGTTTATAAACGGACAAAAGTTTTCGTAATAATTGTATATATCAATCATAATAGCAATCATCATAATTTAGAAATAAGAACTACAAATATGCGTAATATTAGTATATATCAATCATAATAACAATCATCATTATTTAGAAATAAGAACTGTGACCATAGAAATAATACTAAGAATGCTTTTAACACTGTGAATAATGATGATAGTGATACTAACAACAACGTTTTTTAGGGTCTTGGGTTTTAGGGTTTGGGTTTTAGGGTCTGGGGTTCGGGAGTGTAGAGTCTAGGGTTTCGGGGATTACAGGGTTTAGGGTTTAGGGTTTAGGGTTTAGGCTCTGTGTTTTGGTGGTTTAGTCAATGTTTGTAGGGATTGCCTGTATTGGTTCAGGGTTTAGAGATTACAGAGTTTGGGCAAAGCGTATGAAGGATGAGGCTTGGGCGGTTTAGGGTTTAGGTTTGGGGTTTCTGGATTTTGGTTTAGGTTTAGGGTTTAGGGATTGATTTTCAACTAGGGGTGCCCAAGCTGTCCAGGTCAGACTAAATGGAGCACCGCACTTCGCGCAGCATGAGGCGCCCTACGCTGCTTCGCCAGAAACTGATGATCCGTGGGCTGGAGGAAACGACCCGTGGTCGCAGTCACAGATGCCTCAACGAAGCACCCAGATGCGGCAGCCTTACCAGCCAGACTACTCGCAGAGACCCCCCTCCGGGCCTCCATACCCACCGGACAACGGACCGAGTTCCCCCTATGCCCCGCAGTTCACTCCGAAAGCACCGCCGGCGGCGGCGCCAGCGTACAACGGCGTGGGCAAGGGTGCTGGGAAGGTTCCACCACCTTTTTTGGCTCCACAGGGCCCGCCGACGCGACCACCGGAGTCCTCAAAGGGAAGCGGCAAGACGGCCGAGTCCTCGTACACCCCCACCTTCGGGAGTGGCGCAAGTGTGCCGAAGCCGAAGCCTGCTCCACCCCCTGTCCCTAGGTTCCCCAGTAGTACCCTTTTGACCTTTTTCTTTGTGGGTTCCCTTATTAAAACCAAGTAGGAGGCAAAAGGGTACCCTTATTATTAAGGGGCTACTGGGGAACCTAGGTCCCGAAACCCTAAACCCTAAACCCTAAACCCTAAACCCTAAACCCTTATTATTAAGGGGCTACTGGGGAACCTAGGTCCCCGACAGCGACGATGAGGAGTCGCCGCAAGCGAAGGCCTCTGGACCCAAAGGCGCGGGCCCCTAAACCCTAAACCCCTAAGCCCCTTAAAACCCTAAACCCTAAACCCCTAAGCCCTAAACCCTAAACCCCTAAGCCCTAAACCCTAAACCCAAAGGCGTGGGCAAGGGCATGTACGTGAATGGCACGTCCTCGTCGCATCCTGCAGCTGGACCCCCGGCCGGGAGGCCGCGCCCTTCGCCCGACGGCATCTCGGATGTTCTCTTCAAAACTTGTGAACTTGACAGGGTTTAGGGTTTAGGGGTATATAGAGGTCGGAACCACTAGAACCCACAACGGCAAACAACCCGCTCTAACCTGTCACTGTCAGGCACCCATGGTATGCATAGTGACCAGACCAGCCTGAAGACAAAGACAAGATCATCTGCAACGCCCTGAAAGCCAAACTCTTAAACCCAAAAATTTCTAAACCGTAAGCCCTAAACCCTAAACCCTAAAGCGCTAAGCCCCGCCCTAAAAAGCGAGGTAGATCCGAATTTCTTGCACAGTTCGGCGGCGCCGGGAAGGTACTCGGCCCGTTGACTATCGAGGTGCGCGATTAGGGCTCGGCATGTAAACCCGAATCCCCAAACCCTAAACCCCTAAACTTCTAGGGGTCGCAGTTTGGGATTTAGGCGGGTTTATGCTTCTAAATGTGTACGGCCTTTCGGGTTCAGGGTTCATAGGCCTGAAAGGGTTTAGGGTTTAGGGCTTTAAGGGTTGAGGGCTTCGGGTTTCAAATTTGGGGTTTAGGGCTCTTGGCGTTTTGGGTTCGGGGGCTATAAGGGTTTAGGGCTTAGGGCTTTAAGGGCTTAGAGTTTAGGGTAACCTCCTGAGTGCAGCACCAATACAGGTGAGGAAAAAGCGCGATGTCGAGGGTGCCCAGTTCCTGCAATGGGACAACGATGAGCCCCTCCTGCTGCTTGGGCCTAGATTCTGCCTACGAGAGAGAGAGAGAGAGAGATGTTCATATATATGTCTGTATATACACACATTTTCATATCTGCATATATATATATATATATTATACATACATATGCTCACACAAATACTTGAATAGTTAAGTAAATAAATCAAGAAATACAAATACAAATGCCGACCACCGTGCCTGGTGCCCTAAACCATATATGAACACCCGAAACCCTAAACCCTTAACCCAAGGGCGCTTAAACTGTAACATAGGGGCCGTAATAATTAACTACACTATTTTGGGGGCCGCAAAACCTTATTTCTAATTCTTAAGGCTTCATTAGTGATCCAAGGCTCTGCAATGCCAAAGATGGCCTGGCCTTTCTCAGACACCATCATCCGTCACATCCTGGAGGGTGGGGACGCGCAGCGTGTCGGTCTTGTTGTGGTGTTTAGACGGTTTAGGATTTTAGGGTTGGTTTAGGCTTCAGGCTTTAGGGTTTAAGGATGTTTGGGGTTGTAGTAAAGGCGCCTAAGTAGTTAGAACCCTTATTTCTTAGCGTTCCTTGATTAGAGATATTCTGTGCTATACTATAATAGACCCTCCCCCAAAAAATGCTACTCAACCCTAAACCCTAAACCCTAAACCCTCAAGCTGCTACTCTACTTCAGAAGGCTCTTATATTCGCCTTCCGAACGTGCCTTTGCAGGCTTGAAGGGCTAAGCTCCGAAGTCTTTGAGATTTAGGGGTTTATGCTTGAGGGTTTAGGGTGGAGGGTTTAGGGTTGAGGGTTCAGGGTGGAGGGTTTATGGTTGAGGGTTTAGGGTGGAGGGTTGAGGGTTTAGGGGTGAGGGTTTAGGGTGGAGGGTTTAGGGTTTAGGGTTGGGGGTTTAGGGTTTAGGGTTTAGGGTGGAGGGTTTAGGGTGGAGGGTTTAGGGTGGAGGGATTAGGGTGGAGGGTCGAGGGTTTAGGGTTGAGGGTTTAGGGTTGAAGGGTTTAGAGTTTAGGGTGGAGGGTTTAGTGTGGAGGGTTCAGGGTTTAGGGTGGGGGGTTGAGGGTTGAGGATTTAGGGTTTAGGGTTGAGGGGTGAGGGTTTAGGGTTCAGGGTTTAGGGTGGAGGGTTTAGGGTTGAGGGTTTAGGTGAGGGTTTAGGTGAGGTTTCAACCTTAGACCCTATGCCTTACCGGCCTTAAACCCTTCAATCCGAAGCCCTCAAAATGGCCCGAGCACTAAACCTCAACCGTCAGGAACCTAAGTGCGAAAGGTCGGGTTTTGTGTCTCCCCTAAACCCTAAAGCCTAAACCCTAAACCCTAAACCCTAAACCCTAAACCGCTTGGTTTCAGGGCAAAAAACTAGTGGCAGCCCACTAAAGTGCATGATCGAACCCTAAACCGCAGAGGTTGCCCCAAAGGCTAAACTAAACCCCCAAACCCTAAACCCTAAACTAAACTCTAAACCCAAAATCCTACACTCAAGTGCACAATGCTAAGCCAACCGAACAACCCAAAACTTCGAAAACCTATGCCGGTTCCTACGGAGAGGTGGCTGCCGGTTGAATGCTTAGTGGCTGAGCCCGTGTACGACTTCTTGGTGCGAGTCAGGGTTGCTGAGGGCAACACGATTGGACTGCAATGCGGCCTGCCTGATCTAGGGTTCAACCTTCATCGGCCGTTAAACCCTGAGCCCCAGCTGAGGGGTGGGAGTTTAGGTTTGGGGGTGTGCTGAACTTAACCGATTAGTCGTGGGGAGTTCATACTCCTAGGGCTCAGGTTTGTTTAGGTGCACGGGATTGAGGGAATTTGGGTTAGGGTTTCGGGGTTTGAGTTGGATAGGTTCGAGGGTTTATGCGTGGGACTTGGGCAGGGACAGGGCATTGGGGTGTGGTACTCCGCGCAAAAAAGAGTTTTCGCTTTCGTGAGCAGGGGTCAGGGGCGTGGGGCTGCCTGGGTTTAGGGCGTGCGTATGCCGTGGCATGACTTCGGTTGCAGGGTTCAGCGCGTTCTCAAGAATTACATGCGTAGGGTTACAGAATTTATGTTTTGTAGGAATGAAGAGTTGAAATTATGGTTCCAAATTGGCAGTGTCGAAGGCTTGGGAATTCAGGGGTTCTGGGTCTAACGCCTTTGGGGGTCTTTGCGTTTTGTCGGCTCTTTGGGGCTTGGACTTCTTGGAGTTTTCAGAGCTTCTTGGCGTAGGTGGAATGATGCTGGCTGTGGTCGTGATGATGAAGAAGGATGCCTGTGACGACAGTGGCGGTGACAGTAATGTTGTAAATCCTTGCAGATGGGGAAAGTTGTACCATGGCTATGATAGGTTTCCGCTTGATCTGCTTCTTTTGAGCTCGGGATTGTAAAACTCGCAAAGCAACTCTGAAACCTACAAGTTCGAACCGAACGACGCGCACCCCTGAAGTCACTCAAGTCCAGAACAGAAGAACTAGGCAGCAAAACCAGAACCCATCGGAACTGCACGCCTTTGAGCCCCGAATGTGTGGTAATGTAGGGGCCTTAAAAATTAGAATAGGGTTTTGGGGGTTCCTTTATATAAGTATAGTATAATTTACCCCCAAACCCTATTCTACTTGTGTGTCCAGCAAGCCAGCCCTGAGCCATATCTGCCAACCTTCACTCTCAACTTTGTTTGTGGTTACTGCATGATAAACCTCGATAGCCTCAAGCATACGGTTGATGATATACATCCTGCATTATCCATAGTAAGGAATATACCATAATTCCCATAGTTTAGGGTCCTTAAAGTCATGCAGGATTTATATCATTAACAGTAGGACTTGAATAATTAAATCCCAACGTCCGACGCCCTGAGTCCTGCGTCGCACTCTCTGGCGACCGATAACTGCAACCCAGCTTGAAGCTCATAGTTTATAGGCCATAGCAGTCAAGCCTTAAACTCAATCCTACAGCCTCGGGGACTAGAGCCGGCAAATACTGAACTTTTAAATCTTGGACCCTCAAACCGTTAACCCACAAATCCCTAAACAACAAAGAGGCCTGAAGAGTGCTCTCTGAATGCTTACCCCACAGATACGAGACCCTAAACCCTAAACCGAAAGGGCGAGCTTTTCATGGACGGCACAGGCTTAAAGGCTTAGAGTTGAAACCTGAGCTGCCACAATCCTAAACTCGGCAACCCTGTGAGGTGTAAGCTTCAACTTGCTCGACCCTACCCTATCAAGCGTAATCTGTTTCAACCCGAAACCCAAGGACCCTAAGTTCTTGAACCGGAAACCATCTTTCAACTCTTCATTCCTACAAAACATACATTCTGTAACCCTACGCATGTAATTCTTGAGCCCTTAACCAAGTCGTAGCATCCTTCCATAACCCTTGCAGGATCACTCCTACTACCTTCAGAGGAGCCGTAAACCCTAAACCCCTAAACCCTAAACCCTAAACCCTAAACCCTAAACCCTAAACCCTAAACCCTAAAACCCTAAACCCTAAGCCTTACGAAGGTCAGCAGCACAGGCTCGGCGACGACGTGGAGGGACTTCTTGTCACCTCCGTCGAGGAGGCTTCGCTTCGGGGGGGTAAGGGATTCGGGAGGTTTGAGGGTGTAGGGTTTAGGGTTTAGGGGTTCAGGGTTTAGGGTTTAGGGTTCGGGGATATCAGGTTTTACGGTTTAGGCTTTAGAGCGACGGTTTGTACGTGCTTTGCGTGCAAACATATGTCTGATAGCCCTCCTGAGTTGAATGCCGGGGGCTCTGGGGCAAAACTCGTCCTCGCCCCATCTGTAAAGACCATTCGCTCAACCCCCGGCCCAAACTTGAAGCCCACACCTAAACCCTAATCCCCCCTACAAAGCACAACAAACATGCCTTCACCCTAAACCCTAAACCCGAAACCCGAAACCCGAAACCCCAAACCCTATCCTCTAAGCCTTAGACCCTGAACGAAAATCCCGAAGAGCACCTGCCCTGAAGCCAGGGCGGTGTCCTGGAGCGTTGGAATACGCTCTTAGCCTGCAATGGGAGAGGTTGAGGCGTTCCTCCTTTTCATGCAGGGAACTCATGTAATATAGGGGCCTGAATAATTACAATAGGGTTTTGAAGCCCAATATACTAAAGTCATAATAAGAAACCTCCAAAATAGTATAGGTAATTATTTAGGCCCCTATGTTAAGCATTGTCCCTCATCCCTAAACCCTCAGCCCTCAGCCCTCTTGCAAGATGTAGGGTCTTGGGCGTTGGCTTAGAGTTGTAGTTTGTGGGTTTGCATTGGAAGACATTGTCGCTTGATCATTTCACGCCTAGGGTTTAGGTTCTTGAAGGCCTGCTATAAGAGACTGCAAGGTTTTTGTAAGGATTGCATCAGGGTTCTGGGGTTTGGCGCTTTGGGCAGCTTGGTATTATTCAGGGTAGGATTTATCATTTGTGGTCTGATGCAGGGCCCTGAGCAAGTAGCATAGTGTTTGGGGTTGTACTGCAGCACGATTTTACCGGGACTACAAGGACACTCGTACTAACGTTTCCGACCTCTATATGGGTAGTTCTCCTAATTAGGGTCCCTTTTAGGGTCCTTTTTAATGGTGCCGTGCTATATTTGGGACCTACAAAGGGACCCACATTTAGAGAACTGCCCATTTTAGGACATAGGGCTTTTGGTGTTCAGGCTTTTCGGGGTTTGAGGGCAGTCTCCAGATCGTAGCTCTGGTGACCGTAAGCCCTACACCCTAAACCCCTAAACCCTTAAACCCCCCTAAACCCTCAACCCCTAAACCCTGAGCCCTAAGCCCCTAAACCCTGAACCCTAAACCCCGAAATCCCGAAACCCTAACCCCAAACCCTAAACCCTAAACCCCAAACCCCCCTAAACCCTAAAGTTGTCATAGACGGTTTAACGGACTGTGGCCGGCTGAGGGACGACTCCACAGCTCCAAGCCAGAGGTTCAGGGTTTAGGGTTTAGTTTAGAGGTTTAGGGTTTAGGGCTTAGGGCTTAGGGGTTTAGGGGTTCAGGGTTTAGTTTAGGGGTTTAGGGTTTAGGGTTTAGGGGTTTAGGGGATTTAGGGGTTCAGGGTTTAGTTTAGGGGTTTAGGGTTTAGGGTTTTGGGTTTAGGGGCTTACGTTTCAGGGTTTAGGGGTTTAGGGTCTAGGGTTTAGGGCTTAGGGCTAGGATTTAGGGCTTAAGGGCTACGGTCCAGGGTTTAGTGTTTAGGGTGGCTTTAGGGTCTATGGTTTAGGCTTTAGGACTTTGGGTTTAGGCTTTAGGCTTTAGGGTTCAGGGTTTAGGGTTTAGGGTTTGCAATGAACCCCCCGATGAAAAGCCATGAAATCAGCCAAGGTGGTGCGCGAAGGCATTCCCACGATACTTGGCTGCAAACTGCTTAGCTTGCTTAAACAAAACCCTACTTGGAGGGTCGGGAGACTTAGTAAGTAGTTAATAAGTAGACTTATACGTACCCTAAAACGGACCCTAATTGGGGTTATACTACTTATAAGTCTATAAAATAATCATTTACTAAGACCCCCGACCCTCCAAGTAACCCCACTAAACAAGAATTCCTTTTCGGCGCTTAAAACCCTAAACCCAAGCCCCCAAGCTCTAATCGGTGAAAAGCTTGAGACCTCAGAAGCCCCAGTTTCTTCTGTGATCGCCATCACCAGCATCATCACGACCTTGACTGCCTGCATGGTTTACATCATTCGCGTCCTCATGCTCTTGAGAACTCCCTACCGCAGACCTCCGTCAAAGTGCACACTTCAACGCCAAACCCCGAAATGACGCGAATCAAAGGTGATCAGCTGCTTCCTGGTGACCTGATCATCGGAGTTGGTGGCATGTCAGCAAGAAGCTCCCACCCCAACATAGGTAGGGGCTTGAATGATCACGAATACCATTCTTGGGGATTCTTTGGAGCCTATTAAAATACTAGTCCCAACTCTAAACCCTAAACAACCCTAAACCTAAAAGCCCTAACGACAGGTCCCCAAAAGTCGCCAGAAAGTGGACCAAGGCGAGTCTTACAGCAGCAATGCCATCGACGCGCTCTACCAAGATGAGGTGGGCCGCGATTTCAGATCGGGTTTAGGGTTTAGGGTTTAGGTGTTTAGGGTTTAGGGGTTTAGCGTTTAGGGTTTATGTCTGCTTCAGTTAAAACTAGTACTCTCAGGTCTCATCCATTAGCTCAACTACAGTTGGATAGCCGTAGGCAGAAGACCTTCCACTCAAAACTCCACCAAACCTAGATGTCCTACACCTAGATCATTATTGTTATCGACATGCTGTGGCATTGCCCTCCCGATGACCCAGATTACGGGATTTACTGTGGTGCTTATTCCTTCTTGTGCTCGTGCATGAATTTGTACATTAGCTGTTTTACCCTACCCTAAATCCCAAACCCTAAACCCAGTCGCTGTCGTACCCTTAGACTTGAACCCTAATCCATTGCTGTCTCAAAGCCTCGTGCGCTGCCAAGAGGCGATGCTCGCTGTGGGGGTCTTGCAGCTGCACGTCGTTCGTCACTTGGCATTTCTGCATTTCGAAGAGTGTATATATTTTTCCAAAACACCTGTAAGACAGTGTAAAACATGATTTCAAAAACCCTAAACCCTAAACCCTAAACCCAGCAGCAATTTTCAGAAGCTTATAGAGCAGCCGAGAGTTTCCTCAGAAGCCTACGAGCCCCTCGTACACCTGCTGTAAGCCCACCCGATCAAGCCACCCGAAACCCTAAACCCTAAACCCTTAGAAAAAAAGGTCCCTAAAACACATATAAAAAGCGCCTTTGGAGCCGCTTATACGCCCGTTACAAACACTCATGACTGAAGCCCGGTAGAGAGATCTGAATAGTTATGAGTACTATTTTCTAAGGGTTTAGGGGTTTGGGGTTTAGGGTTTAGGGTTTAGGGGAATAGTTATGAGTGCTATTTCTAAGGGTTCCCTACTACATTTTTATTACAGCACGCTCCAAGGCACTAGTCTGTTTGCTAACGCCCCTTTACTCATCTCTTACAGGAACCCTGAAGACATGAACCTTGTTTCTAGGACATTTTCAGGTGGGTAGTTACCGTTATCGGAGCCTTATAGAAGGTCTATATACCTTATAGAAGCCTTATAGAAGCACTATATACCTTAAACTCCCCACCTGTAGTTTCCTTTAATTGTTCTAATTCGCTGAAGCTCTTCTCCCCTAAACCCTTAAGCCTAAACTCTAAACCCCTAGCCCTAAACCCTAAACCCTAAACCCTAAACCCTAAACCCTAAACCCTAAACCCTAACCCTAAACCCCTAGCCCTAAAACCTAAACCGAGTGAGGCTTCGCGGCCCAGTGGATCTTCGGTGAGTTTGGCGAACTGCGGAACGTCCTTCCATGCCAGCGGCCGCCGGTGCCACTTTCGGGGGTTTTGGTGCGAGTGAAGTGAATCTTTAAGGGGTTCTCGGTTTGTGAGGGCTTGCTAGGGTTTCTCAGGAATAGATTGGGTTTCAGACGGTTTCGGAAGAGTCTTACAACATTTTCAAGGTGCTGTCTTAGAGCTTTTTTGACGGCTCGATGATTCTATACGACGTTGTACGGGCTGTAAAGTTCTTGTTTGTGCACGGAGTTCGTATTTTGGAGTTTAGGGTGAAGGGATTTGGGGTTCACTAAACCCCCAAACTCCAAACCCTACCGGCGGTAGGTGCAAGTGGCAAATCCAGTGCCGAAGGGGGCCAGCCCGCTGCCACGATTTCGCGAGATCGACCAGTTCCCTGGACAAAGCAGTTTAGGGTCTATAGGGTTTAGGG